TCCTTTGCTTTGCCAATTGCTTAGTGACAGAGTGGCAGTGGGTGCACTTGAATGACAAGATTTAAGTGGGTGTCATGGTGGGAAACACTGCCCCAGGGACCAGAGAGGGGGGACCCCAGAGCAGGAAGAGGTTCAGAGCATCACCAACCCAAACCCTGCTCCTCACACACAAACTCCAGCCAGGACCCTCCTCGGGCATCCACGGCTCTAGCGCACTGCACCCGACCTTAGGGAGTGGTGAGAAGCTGGGTTCCCGGAGGTCCAGGGAGAGCAGCCACCACCTGGCTGGAACGCTCGCTCACCCAAGCCTCCTGGCTGGGGGAAACACCTGTCATCCCAGCACTCAGGAGGCTCAGGCAGGAGGACTGCTGTGAGTTTGAGGCCAGCCACAGTGAGTTCAAGGCCAACCTGACATACATAGCAAGACCCTGTCTCAAACACAAAACAAGAACAAAACAAAACATATTTTACACACGCACACGCAGGCAAAGAAACATATCTGGGGAGACAGGCAAACTTTCGCAGGCTTTGCCCTACCCCCCTCCCCCACCGCAGCTTCCCCTGCAGTCACAGCACTGATCTCAGCCCCTAAGGGGCACAGCCCCTCCCAGGACAGAGCAGGCCTTACGTGGGGTCCTGCACCCCCAGTCCCAGAGAAGGGGCAGTCAAGGGCATCATCCCCCCAGAGGGCCCCAACTCGCCTGCCCAGGACCCCAGAATTCCTGCCCAGCGTCACCCACGGGCCCTTCCAGCTCCAGGACCCCCAAGCCCCGCCCATGGGGACAGCCGGCCTCCCCCATGCCACACACCAGAGAGGTCTCTGGGAGCCTGGGTTCCGGGTCTGAGTGGCCTGGAGACCACGGGAGGAGAAAGGCCATTTAACTCAGCAGCTTGCAGGCTGCGTGTGAACAGTTTCCATATTAAGACCTTGAGACCGTCTGGTTAAGCGAAACGAATCAGGCACACAGCTTAAACAGGGAGTGGCTTCTCTTTATGACAAACCCAAAGTAGAAATAAATGAGAGAGAGACCGCAGGGGAACAGGCGATGGAGGGAGAGTGGAGGGAGGGAGGAAGGGAAAGCAAAAAGAATCAAGATGTGCCCCTCCCCCCGTACACACCCACAAGGAATGTGATCGCTGTGCTTTGCAAACATGGCTCATGAAAATACAAATTTAAAAAATGATGCAGACCCGCCTGGGCCCTGCAGTGGTCAGACCCACATCCTCCTTCCAGAACCTTCCAGACCTTTCAGCCCCTTTGCAGAACTTTCCAAGGGCGACCACAGCAGATGTCCCTGTGACCAGGGGAACAGGGTCGGGAGGAGAGGGAACAGGGGTGGGAGGAGAGGACACAGCGATTCCTGCCTCTCTCGATGAAGGCCACGGGCTCAGGGAGGCCAGAGGCCACTGCGGCCACCGAACTCCTAAGTGGCTAGCCAGGGTCCCACCCAAGACCACAAGTGAGTCCCTCCTGACTGGGACTCCAAGGTACAAGGGCCACTTCCTGGGGGGCAGCATTAGGAGCAGATACCGAGGAAGAGCAAACAGGTCCAGGACCACCTGAAGAGAAAAACTGGCCCCGTGATGACAATGATGGGCTTAAAAAAAAAACCACTGATAAACAGGAAAGGAGTTTTGGTTTCAAAGATCAGCCAGTTTCCTTGCTGTTGCCATATCTAGTTTGTGTATCAAAGACAACAAAAATAATTCCAGGTGCAGACAGGAGATGGGATATTTCTACGCTCAGCGCTGGACACGTTTGGCTCCTTCCCAGACATAAGGAATTCTGGTGTTTCTTCTTTTTAAGTAAAAATAAATAAAATAAAGCTGCTCTTCCCCGAGGTGGGCGCTAGCAAATGTCACAGAGCCGGGGGTGGCGGCAGTGACAGTTCTCCTTGTGAGCCCACAGGTGTGTGGCACACAGCTGGAGCACAGTGCAGGTGTGCAGCCAGCTGGGCGGGGCCCCTGCAACCCACCCCAGCCCGGCACAGCCAAGACCCCAGCCCAGGCCCTGCGCCACGGCACCTGCTCACTCTAGGCCCAGAGCCAACCGGATTAGGTCAACACAGCAACACTCAGCTAGAACGGGGCAGGGCCTCACTGGGGACTTGCAGATGTCCGCACCTAACCCCAGCCTGGGCTCCACGGTCCCTGTGAGTTTCCGGTTCCCCATGAGGCTGTCACAGCCAAAGTCTAAACATCCCCCACAGCCTCACAGTACAAGAGGTGGCTGGGCCCTGGGTGCAGTGGATTCAGGTTTCAAAAGCCAGCAAGTGACCGTGCTGGGTGCTTTGATGTTGCCCATCCCCCACAGCCAGCTGATGCCAGCCCTTGCTCAACCCTGCAGGACAAACTTTCCAGAGCCAGATGGACTGGCCCAGGGGACTTGGAATAGCACCGGCTCCTTCTGGAAGGATGTCCACAGCTGTCATTAGCAATGCAAAATGCTCAAGGCCACCACCTTGCCTCTGGAGGAGAGAGCAATCAGATGCTTATTGGTGGCACATGCCTGTCATTCCAGCTCTTGGGGAGGCTGAGGCAGGAGGATCACACATTTGAACCCAGCCTTGGTAACTTCATTTAAAAAGGGCTGGAAATGTAGCTCAGTGCAAAGTCCCCGGGTTCAACCCCTGCTACTGCCAAAAGAAAATTACTAATAAAATTTTTTAAATTTTAAAAAGCTTGTTCACTGAAGGCCAGCTGGGTACCAGTCAAAAGAAATAAGTGAAGCCAGGCATGGTGGCGCACACCTGCCATCCCAGCATTTTGGAGGCTGAGGCAGGAGGATCACTGCAAGTTCAAAGCCAGCCTGGGCTACATAGCAAGACCCTGTCTTGAGAGGCACAAAGCAAAGTGAGTCCATGCTGAAGCATTGAAAAGTGGGGAGGGAGAGCTGCCATCGCAAGCCCCCAGCCACAGTGCAGGGCCAGCTTGCTTGTGGGGACACAGTTGTCGTAAACGCCCCAATAGCTGAGGCTCTGGCTCAGACAAAGGCCGCCACCATGTGCCCTGGGACCCGGGTGGCTCATCGATGATACATGGAGCAGAGCTGGCCGTGAACCATGCAGACACCAGCCTCAAGAACATCTGTGCCCCAAAAGCAGCCCAGTCATGCAGCGTCTCCTCCCTCCCACACCTGCACCCTGCACAGGGCGCCCCCAGACCATCCTGCGTGTCCCCGCACGGCCATGGCTCTGTCTGTGGGCAGAGGACGCTGTGAGGGGAAGAAGCCACAGCCACTCCCCCAGCCGGCACATCTGCTCCCACAATCAGGAGCTGTGACCTGGAGGGGGGCGGGGTCTGGGGACCCGGCCGTGCCTGGAGAGCTGTGCGGCCCTGAGCGGGTCATTTAAGCCCTCCTGCCTCAGCCTCCCCTCCTGTGAAATGGGGAGAATCATCTGTACCCCACAGGGCAATGAGGATTAAGTGAATTATTGCTAAAGTGCTTTATGCAAGACTAACACACTCGAGGCACTGCATGGTTTACTGGTGTCTGTTATTATGAAACACTAATTTAATAACAATAAATTTGGTAGTATTTTCAATACTAGTTCCAAGCTAAAAGTTAAAAAAAGAAGAAGAAAGAAAGGCTTCTAAGTAAAAACTGCAGGAATTAGCCAGGCATAGTGGTGCACACCTGTCTTCCTAGTACTCGGGAGGCTGAGGCAAGAGGATCGCCATGAGTTCGAGGACAGCCTGGGCTACATGTGGAGGCCCTGTCTCAGAACCACTCCCCCTAAAGAACTGCAGAAACTATTAATGCAATTATTATTATTAATCATCATGAGGATGAGGAAGAGAGGCGTAAATGATAATGATGATGTAAATAATGTATTTATCTGACAAGAATCCTACCCAAAAAGGATATTGAGAAAGATTAAAAACTACACCTCAAAATATCTACTTCTGTGTTCACTTCTCTCCTACAACTATTTTGGAGAAAGTGATGTCATTTATCAAATAGTCCAACAGATACACAGTCTAGGAGTTATTCGGGAAATTCAGTGCGAACTCACACAAGATAGTTTGCCTTGGGCTGATCCAGTGGGAGGTTTCAGCTGGCCCTGAAATTCTTCACATGATTATTGAAAATGTTCTTTTGTTCCTATCTCCCTTTGTGGCTAAGTAAAGGGAAGAAAAGTAGGTCATGTGCTCAGCAGAATAAGAGGCCGAAACACTGAGAGGGTGGAGAAGTTTTCTGACCACCTCCGTGGCCTCAAACCCCAAGTGATAAAACAGCAGAAAGCAGGCACTGAGGCGACTGTCTCCCCAGGGGCAGAGCAGGCGCCCCCTATCCCCAGAGGAGACCGCAGAGCCCGGAGCCCAGGAGGCAGCCAGCAGGGCGTTGCCGAGGGCACTGCTGCCCAGAGAGCAATGGTTATCGGCTCCTGGGTCTGTGGCCCCCGGGGCAGCCTGCATACCACAGCCTCTGCACTAGGCTGCAAACCCTGGCTGCACCGCAGAGGGCCCCGAGCCCAGCCTGCCCACACCAGGTCAGGCAGAGAGAAGCTGCCCTGGTGGAGACAGTGCACTACAGAGCCCGAGTCCAGGCCGCCAGCTCGGCCTAAAGTCAGTCTCGGATCAGCTGTCCCACACGTCAGGCTCTCAGGGTTGCTCTGCTCCCTGGAATCTGAGAGTCCCCTTGAGCCGGGTGTGGGGGTGCGTGCCTGTGATCCCAGCTCTTAGGAGGCTGAAGCAGGAGGATTGCTGCAAGTTCGAGGCCAGCCTGGGCTACAAAATGAGTTCAAGGCCAGTCTGAACTGCATAGTGAGATGCTATCTCAAAGTAAAAACAAAAAAAAAGTTAATAAATAAATAAGATTTCAGAGGGTAATACAGGCCAGTCAGCCAGTTGCTGGGATTCATGTGCACGCCCTCAGGGCATCCAGCACACATCTGTCCAGCTGACCTTTAAGTACATGTGTCACATACAGAATACCTACAGACATACATGGCCTTTTATTTAAACATATTTTTTTCTAAAATACCATCGGGCTGTGCTAAAGAGAAACTATAATGATTATTATTGATCTACAAGAACAACAGAAAGGTTATAAGGGCCGAGATCAAGTTTTCTTTCTCCTTTAGACATTTTATTCACTTTTATTATATTATTATTTTTATTATCAGACATCATATATTGAGCTCTTCTATTTACTGGGCCCATTTCTTTTGCTGTTTTTTTTTGGTCCCGGGGATCGAACTCTGGTCCTTGCGCTTGCGCAGCAGGCGGCGAAACCACTGAGCTAAATCCCCGGCCCAAGTAGGCTCATTTTTAACATATTTGTGCCCACATGCACTGCTTTCTGGCTGCTTTGGACCTTTATAAATCAGCAGCCAATGTACGAGTTCAGGTATTTATGGGAGAGTAGCACTCACGGTCCTAGAATGTGAGGAAGTATGTGCATATCATGCCCTGCCTAGTGCCCCGACAGCCCTGTGACCACCACACTTCGCCAGAGAGGCGCCAGGTACCGAAGCTGCTGGTCAGATCCGAGGGTGAGCGGAGGTGACCGAGAAGTCAGGGGCCAGCAGCATAGCAGACAGGGCTGGAGACAGGGCACGCCCGAGCCACTCAGCCGCCTCATCTTCTTGAAAACCAGACACACGTGGAGCTCGGCGTGAATCCCCGTTAGCTATGATGAAGAAAACTGAGAAGGTTGGAGCTCCTGAATAACCGAAGTATTTTCTTGAATATTTCTAAAAGTAGAAAGAAAATTAATTGGCCTTTAAAAATAGAAAGGAGAGAAAGAGGAGAGGAAAGAAAGGAAAGGAAGAAGGAAAAAAGAAACAGAAAAAAAGGAAAGATAGAAGGCAAGAAAAAGAAGAAAGGGGAAGAGGAAAAAGAAAGAAGGAAAGGAAGGAGAAAAAGAAAAAAGAAAGAAGAAAGCAAAGCACCTGCACCTCCATTTCCTCCCCGCGTCTGGCGCTGAGCTCCCAGCCCCGCTCTTTCTCTTTCCCTCCCTCTCTCTCCCCCTCTCTCTCCACACCGCGTGCTCCGTGTGCTTCCCACATCCTGCCCACACCTTTTATCTGCATCTCCTCAGGCCTGGCAGTGAGATGTCAGCAGCTCCTCTCCAAGGCGTCGCCTCTTTTGCACCGGGCTCCCCGGGATCCTCGTGGTCGCCTGCATCCCCCACAACTGTGTCCAGGCACAAGCGGAAGGGCGGCTGCGTCCTAGTGCAAGGGACAGATGATAAACGAGGAGCTGAACATGAAGAGATTTTCAGGCGGTGGTGAGAGCCCCAGGTAATGTCACACCCAGAGTCATCTTTCACGGGCCATCTAGAGCCACCGTGGTGAGAGCGGCTGGAGAATTCCAGGCAGAGCTGAGGACCAAACACTTCAAGGCAAAAACAAGCCTGGCATGTTCAAAAAACCGATAGCAGTAAAAAATAGCTGAAGAACAACAGCAAAACATCCAAAATGAAGAGGAAGGAGGAAGAAGCAGTAACCCAGATCACATACGGCTTAATGTGTCAGAGTAGGGAGGAAGAAACTTACAGCACGCCGTGGAAAGATTTTAAGCACTGTGGTGATCAAGTGTGACTTGCCTTTTAGGAAGTCTGACCGATGCTCTTAAGAAATGCATAACCCCCAAATTCTACCATGCACGGTGCTGCCACTCGGGACACACAGTTAAGAGGAGAGGCAGTCAGGTCCACTATTAAAAATCCATTTTTAATGGAGTTTTGATTCTAACAACAACAAAAAAAAATAGCTCTAGGCTCATACTCAGCTTGGCATATATTAAAAATCTGTTTGGAAGCAAAATGTTTTTAAAGTACCTTGGTTTTAATTAGTTTAGCATTTTAATTTTAAGGAAGGATGAGAAGCCTTATTAGGAAGCATTTTCCATTTGGGTGTTTAAATCTACACCATAATGTTACATTAAAATAGTTTCTGGTGTGTTAATTAATAATTATCTTAGGAATACTGCAAATGTGAAAGGCCACTGTGATTCACCAGCCACATCTGAGCTCATTCCTTCTTAAAATTCTATTAATCCCTGCTACAAATGACAGGATCATTTAATTTCTTAAATGAGACATTTTTATTGCACATCGGGCCTTTCATCTAAGTGAATTTATGGGACATGACAGGCCTTAAAACTCCTTGTTGTTTTTCATAATGCATTTGGTCAAATATTTTGCTTACTTCTAATTTGACCCGTTTAGTATCCAGATAAACCCAGTTTGCCTTCTCCCAAGTGCCTGAAGAGTACAAACTCCCCAGGGAGCTCGAGGTGGAAAAAGGGGAAGAACTGGGTATGGAGTCCGGGGGGCCTGGGGAGCTCTGAAACTTTGTCGGTTGTAACCAAAGCAACCTTGGGGATGTACTTTCACATAGAAATGGCTCTTCCTGGGAAGGAAGTGGTAGATGTCAGCACTGCAGAGGGCAAATCTGAAATAGTAAAAGGAGAGAAATGATGTCCTTATGGCAATTCGGAGTCTATTAGGGGCTTAGATTAGGGTTAAAGAAAATCAGCATCCTCCAAGGGGGGCTGGCCCCATGCAGTACTTCCTTTCCACCTTCGCCAACACTGCTGCAAAGATGATAAATATTTAAAACATTGTCCCTGCAGTCTGTTCATTTCTCAGACTTCGTCATCACAGGCGGCGTCTTCTTGTGTTGTCTCTTGGGTTTGCTAAAAGCTCGACAGAAGCAGCACCCGCCATGGAGGGAGGCAGACTGCCATCTAGGGCTTTGATCCACGTCCTCCTTCATCCCTGCTCAACCCACTGGGCAGTTCTGGTGATAACACAGATCATCAGGGGAAACTGAGGCTCATGGAGAGGAGGGATCACACTGGATCCAATGGATCTTTCCACCAGGTGCCATGCAGGGTTGAGGTCATTGTGATCCAAAGGGAACAGTGGCCTGGAGCCACCCTGGGCTGCTTGAAGGGCAGAGAATTGCAGGGCTGACTGGAGTCACATGGAACCAGGTCCCCTCCAGACCCTCAGCCGAAGCCAGCAGCAGATCCTGAGAGAACTGGATCCTCTGCCTGCCTGGTCCCTTGGATCCTGGAGCTGCTGCAGAGAAGTCTTGGCAGCACCATGGGAACAACAGCCTCAGATGTCTTTAGATAGCAGAAAACACACAGCTACTTTGGCCACATCAACTTTTAAATTAAAGTGCTTGATTTGTTGTAGCTCAGAACCTTTGCTTTGACTGAGTAACAGTTGGTAATTCTCAAACATCTTTCAAATGTGTCCTGCAACATAAAAATAATTCTAAGGAATATTTCTCAATCTTCACCTTTATGGGTCTACCCTTTTTATTACATTTACTTTTTAAAAATAATTCAGAAGAGCTCATTTATGAGATAGCAGCTGCTGTTGATTCATTTGCTAACTAATGATTTGGTAAAATCAGCACATGATATCCAGTGCTAACCAGTTTGTAATGATGAGAGCCCTCCTTGTCATAGACCTTATAAATTGCAATTCCAGAATTTGACTCATCATTACTTGCCGAATAGACCCTTGGTATAACTGAGTCAGCCTCACCCATTACATCCCAGCACCTGGGACTCTCCTGGCTTCCTCTTCCTCCATGGATCCCACGACCAGTCAGGGGCCAGCACCTGCGGCCCTGTCCTGACTTGCACCCAAATTGCCCCCCTCCTCCTTGGCCCAGTGCAGTTCAGTCTTTCCTCCGGTCGTCTTAGCTCCTCGAGGGCAGTGAGCTTTGTCCATGAATGGGTCTCTGTGATAGGTGGATTGCACATATCCGCCCAAAATCGCGTGCTGAAGGCCTAAATGGCAGCTGATGGGCTTGTGGGACAGGACTGGATCATGAGTGGATTCATTCACTGATGAGGTGATGATTTGATGGCATTGTTGGACATTGTTGGGCAGGGATGGAAACAGGAAGTGAGGCCTGGTTGAAGGAAATGGATCACGGGGACATGACCCTGACTCTCCCTACTTCCTGGCTGCTATTCAGTGAGCAGTCTTATCCCACCACACCCTGTGCCACAATGTTTCTGCTTCCCCTCTGGCTCATAGCAATAGAACCAGCTGACCATGGACTGAAACTTCAGAAACCATGAGCCAAAATCAACTTTTTCTCCTGCCAGTAGTTTTTCTCAGGTATTTGCCTGCACATTGAGAAGCTGACAGGCACAGTCCCTTGAGACATAGGAGGGACTTTGTATCAGGGATTAAACAAAGGATCTGGGACCATGGGCTCAGTCTAGATTGTTACCCAGGGTTTGTGTAAGCAGGAGTAAGCAGAGCTGCAGTCAGAGAGGGAAAGGCTGGTTCGACCGCAGAGGCTGGATTGATGCGTTGTGAAGACAGATTGAAGGACCCAGAGCTGAGGGCCGTAAAAGGCCTCTAGACCCTAAAAATGCACGGAGACCTTTTCTCAAGCCTCCAGAAGAGACAGAATTTTGACTTCCATCCTCTGACCTGCAATAGAATGAATATGTGTTGTGGAAGCCACAGAGCTGGGGCACTTGTCACGGCAGCAACAGGAAACTCAGAGTGCTCTTCAACAGCCCTGTGAGACAGGAAGGTGCTCGTGAGGTCCCTGAGTTCAAACTCTTCCTAGAAGATTTTGTTCAATATGGGCATAAAACTCGCACTTGGAAAGCAGCCTCGGGCGGCCGGGCCCTCTGTCTCGGCCTCTGGACCCCTGCAGAGTTCCCCACAGCCACCCTGCCGCCTCCTCAGTCTGTCTCGCCTGCAGCCAAGTGCCCAGGTTGTGGGGGTCCAAGAAGGTGGCAAGGGCGCCCCATCAGCGCAGCCAGCAGCACTGTGAGAGGGGTTGATGGGGCTGGAAAGATAAGTCGGTGCCCATTAGGGAAATGTCGGTAAAGACAACAGTAACCGCAGCAGTGGCAGAGAATTCGCCCTGTCGACAACGCTTTTATCCCAAGTGCAGACCAGCATGGTGCTCACTTAGGCTTCACCAGGGTGGGGCGGGGTAACGGGGCTGCAGGGCTAGGGGGCTCACCAGGACCGCAGAGGCACAGAGTGGGGAGAGTCTGAGACCACATCCTCCGAAGCACCACCGGTCAAAAGCAGTGGCAGCAAAGAGAGCAGAAGACCCCAACGTGGAGAAGACGGCACCCTACGTGACCCAGAAGTGTTTAACCACGGGGAAAACGAAGGTGGTAGGTCGTCATTCTAACCCTTTACTGTCTACATTAAGCTCATGAAATCTCCCAGATAACAGATTTCATTTATTCATTTATTCACTTAGTTATTTAATTATTTGGCAGTTTTTTTCAGACGGTCTCGCTAAGTAGCAGAGGCAGGCTATGATCTGTGTGAGTCAAACCCATGGTGATCCTCCTGCCTCAGCCTCCAGGGTGCACGGCTTACAGGTGTGCACCACCACGTGCAGAAGGTTCCCGTTTTTGTAGAAACCAAGCTTTGGCATGTTTATATTTCAAAGACCAAGTTCGCCATGGAAGTAGCCTCAGACACATGCCCGGCTGCTTCTCCTCAGTCACTCCAGCTTCTCATCCCCTCTGACCTGGGAGAGGCTAACATGCGGGGGGGGGGGATAACCGGGGCAGCCACCAGTGAGAAATGAGAGTGCTCCCCGGGAAACCGGCCACTTAGGGAGATGGCTGCAGAGGGTTCGCTCCTCCCGAGGGCCTGTCCGCTGGGGCTGCAGTCCTGAGCTCGGGGGGTGCTTCCTGACCTGCAAAGCTTCCCCTCCGCCTGTGCCAGGGACTCCCTGACCATTGATTCGGGCCAGGACCACCCGGGTGAGGCCAGAGCAGGTGACCATGACCCCTTGGTGTGGACGTAACACGCCGGTGGGCAGCGATTTGGAGGAACACACTGACCCGTCACCCCAGGCGAGGGATTCGTGACCCAAGGCTGTGAAGTCACAGTGCATGCGCAGGATTACCCGTGGGCTTGGGAGTCACGTGCAGTGACCTCCAGCCTGGAAGCTCCACCCTCCGTGCGCCCTCCGCCGGGCTCCGCCTTCCCGAGTACCTGGACTTTCTGTCTGTGACAAGGACGCCAGGGGAAGCACGTGGTGCCCGCTTCCGGTGGTCATCCAGGATGTGTGGGCGGAAATGCAGCACCGATGTGGCAGCCTGCGGTGCGCCCCTTCCCGCACCTCCTACACTGTGACACTGCAATCGGATGTCAGCCGAGCCCCAGGCCCGCCATTCCCCTTTGAGGTGTCTTCCCGGAGTCAAGACC